AATTGTTGCAAAACAGTCAATGGGCTTTCAGAAAATAACCAAAATTTGCGACCCGTGCTTTTTGACATGGTCAAGTTTCACAATTTTTTAAAACTTTCAGATCAATTCTCAGAAGGAGCTCAAGTAACGAATCGATAGAGTAAACCTTATAGAATACAGTACTACTTTTTTCTCCTTTTCATAGCTTGCCATACATTTTTAACAGAATTTTAACTGATGCTGCCGATTTCCATACTTGGGCAGCTAAATCCTCGTAGAACATCAAAAGAAGAGCAGCTCGCGCATTATTCGATGCGGCTTGTTCTCCTCTTTTTAATGGATGTCTTTTGTCTGCCTTTTGTGGAGTTTTCGCGTACAAAATCATCATAAATCATATTTTCAAACGCGTTCCGGGCTGGACCCGGAAAAATCGAAATTAGGTATTTTCAACCCGTAAACCTTCACTTGCTTTGTAAAATTGATGCTAACTCATAGCACCATCTTGGTAGTCTCAAATTTCGAAAAATTATGACCTTTGATGCGATTGTGGCTGAGGTGGGCCTGCCAAAATCCGATGGTTCTGTTAAAAAATCTTTCAAAAAAAATCACGGCGAGCTACGAGAAAGTGAAAAAACCAGTGCTGTATTCTATAAGGTTTACTCTACCGAATCGTTACTTGAACTCCTTCTGAGGATTGATATGAAAGTTTTGAAAAATTGTGACATAACCATCTCAAAAGGCATGGGTCGCAGATTTTGGTTATTTTCTGAAATCTCATTGATTGTTTTGCAACAGTTTTATAACCGTTAAAAAGAGAATGAAATTCTACATCGAACGCTACCAAGATCTCTTAGAAAGGTTTGTTCCATCGATTGTGGCAACCGTTTGAAAAAAGCGAAATTACTTTTGAAACGACCTAATACTTTCCAATGCTCAATATCAACCATCACCTGTATCTAGAAATCGTTATGAATATTACAGCAGCACCCGAGCTGAATTTCCAAAACTTTTTGAATTTTCACACTAGGAGTATATTCGACGAAGTTTTAGGCGAGACAGTGTTGATAGAGTCTTCGAAAATGTTTTCAGACAGAAAAAAGGATAAAGACCATGAATCCACTGGGGAGCATGAGCTGAAGGCATACGAATCCTATTTGCGACGATACCTTGCATGAAGGCGAGTGCAAATCGAATTTCTTACGTGCTGGAGTAAATCTTCCAAAGCTGATAGCTTCTTGACGAGGATGGAACCGCAGATCTTTGGACATTATGCTTTTGAGGAAACTGCGTCATTGAGCAGCAAAGCATAGCATTCCGAAAAAATCAAGTAAAAAATATAGTGATGTTCTCCCTAGCATATTCAAGATTTAGGTAAACAAAGGCAAAAAGAAATAATTCAAAATAGACTGAAAATTGCAATACCATGCATGACTTTTTGGCTAGCTATTCTCAGATCAGAGAAAGAGGTCGCTTAAGTAGCGTAAATTGCTCCTTGGGGACGATTGCCTAGTCTGAGGGTTCCTGCTACAAACTAGGGAAACTTTACGAATATCTTAGGGTAAATGGTGTAAAAGCATAGAGGATGATTACTTTAAGAGGTTACTCTAATGTTGTTATCCTCTCGTTCTCTCAAAATATTACGTACATTAGATCTTCAGGGTACGTCATCTCTTCTGGTTTAAATGAATAGTTGAATATGAGGAACAAAGATACATGCTCATCTAGTGGTATCCAAAATATGAATTATTATGAACATTTTGCGTCGACAACTCAGTAAGGAGAGACACTAAATATTCTTTCATCCATCTTGAATTTTGCAATTTGTTATTCCGGTAATTTCGTTAATTTTTGGCGCCTGGAATTACTAAAGATTCAAGATGATTCAATCTTACTGCTTAATAGCCTACTTTCGTGGACTAGAGATGGTATAATCGGTTTGAATCACTTGAGCAATTATAATTTTCAGACTTTCTCGAGTTTTTGACTTTAGGAAAGTAAAATCTAGATATATTTGTATAATATAATATAATGCACCATAGGCCTCATATGGTAAGAAAATACGGTATAGATAACGTTTTTGTAAACATCAATATCAATTTTGAAATTTTGTCAAAAGGATCATGCAACTCATCAACAAGGGTCTGCGCTAAATTAGTTAATCCTGCTCTTAGTCAAGTGCGAAAGTAAACAGTCTTGGGTCACTATCAAAAAGAGCATGAAGCATAGGTTCCCAACATTGGTTTGAAAGAGTTAGGAAGTAAAGGCGAAAAAGTCCCCCTATCTACTCTGTCGTTACCCAAACCGATTCGATGATTAAATAAAAGAAAAAAAACAATTACTGCTTTGAGAGACTATATTTGCAAAAATTACAAGAAGAAATATCAATATCTTTCATCTTTCTTGCATTAGTCTGACTACCGATTAGACTCGGACTGACATGATGATGCCTATATTCGTCTACAATTCTTGTTCATTCCGCTGTATTACTAACTTCTCAATGTGTTTTTTTTTTATGGAACGCCTTGAGCGTACAAATGAAAATGAAAATGAAAAATTGACTTTCACCTGACGTAGTAATAAGAATTAGTGGTTGCAAGAACTTGATTATATTATAAGTAAGTGTCGCATTAGATAAGCCAATTAACCGAGCTTCATTAAAGGCAGCGTCCAGGCAGATTTGGACCTATGGGGCTTTAACGTGGAAAGTACTTTTGGGGCTCTAACTAAGGCACTGCCCAAGCGGCAGCTCAGGTAGTGCTGTAATGGCTGAGATATTCCCCTCGAAACTGGACCCCGCGACCGTGTTTCGCATGGATTTATGGCGCAAAGCGTGGATCCTGGCGCGACAATGCCATGAATCCATGCGAATACGTCCGCGGGGGCCAGTTTCGAGGGGAATATCTCAGCCATTAGAGCACTACTTGAGCTGCCGTTTGGGCAGTGCCTTAGTTAGGGCCCCAAAAGTACTTTCCACGTAAAAGCCCCATAGGTCCAGATCTGCCTGGACGCTGCCTTTAAGGAGCGTTGCATATGTGCATATGATATTCCGTCAGAATAATCAACGGAGTTTTGAATGCCGTTTATCAAACATGCAAAAAAGGAAATGTGGGCGGAAGTGCCGCCTCGACACTGAGATCGGAGTTTGCGGAAGGATTCCTTGATACATCAGGTTACTTACCTACAGTCAATGTCAATTACGTTCTCCCTTTCGCATTGGAACTACGCATGCGCAACGCAAGGGCCCTGCGCGCAGACCTCCAATCAATGAGGCCAATTTGAATGCCCGAGCCTTACGCGCATGAACGTGGCGCAAAGCTCATTGCGCTTATGGAAAAGGGAGCACATGATTGACACCGACTCTACTTTACGCACTCCAATATCGGAGGCAGAACGTGAAGAAGTTTTCCCTTCAAAAAGGGGAGTCGGACATTTCGCACAACGGTAACCATGAGAACCCTTCTTGAGTGGCCTTAACGGCAATATCTTTTACACCTAAAGGCTACTGCATGACGAACTCGCTGGAGCAATATTAGTTGAGCGGCGCGAACGCGGCACGCGCGTATCTTCACCGTTATAGATCCTGCGCCTCACGCGCTCCGCGGCTAATAACGCAGCGTTCGCACCTAAAGATGTTGCGCCTTGCCATGCAGCAGCCTACATGTGCTTGCTCGCGTGCGCGATTGGGTCCTATGTGGAAATGTTGCGGCAGCTTACGGTTGTTCGAATCGACTTTACATCCATGAGGATGTGTGAGGTTATTCACGTTTGGATGCCCTCAATTATTATTCGAGCTTGTATCCCTAGGATTTTCTGAAAATTTTAAATTGTAACTTCGTCGAATTTATCAGTACTTACAATCAAACAAACATAGGATATTTATAAGCCATACTCGATGACTCTCACCCCTTGCTCCCATAAATTTTGTTCTCAGCTCACATATTTTTATTGGTATGCGGGAAGAACCAAAAAAAAATCAAAAAAATAGTAGCAGATGCTTAGGAAAATTTTGTTACTGGTTTTGTAATGGTAGAGTAATAAATAAATTTGAATTTCTCAAAAATCGTTATATATGGGCATTTTTCAAAAATTTTCCTTAAACCTGCTTGTAGGCAGTAATATTGCACAGGCCCACTAAAGAATTAGCTACCTCCACTGGTTCTTTAAAAAATTATTGCCAACATATGGTACGTTTTTACAATTATAGCAATGTACTTTAAGTGCTTTACAAGATTTGTACTCGATGCCAAATACATAATCCTGAAACTGTAGCTACAACAATAGTTTGTAGCCATAATATTTTGTAGCTACAAATGTTGCCGTAACCTTGGGAATTAGTTGGGAAAAGTCAAGATAAGGAATTACAAATAGGTAAAAATAGAGTTTCAAAATTATTGAAGTGTCCTGAAAATTTGCACTTTTAAGCTCTTAATTCTCGTGTTCTAGTCATGAGAAAATTTCATAAACTGTATCTACATGCGAATGTCTGATGTGGAGAGTACATGCCTTTACAAATGGAGATCCCTAAGACTTTTTGGATGAAGGTACGAATTTGCGAGTTTCTGAAATTTTTTAGTTTTTGGACGAACTCCATTTTGTAGAGCTTGTTTTGCTCTATCACCTAATACCCCTTTCACTAATTTTCGTGGTCATTCTGTCGCAAAAGATGCGATGCGCCATACATGCGAAATTTAGCAAAGTCAACCAAATATCTAATACGAATTTTCAAACTCATGGGATATATAAATCTCAGCGGCAGACTAAAAAGATTAAAGAAGACGATTTTTATGAAAGGAATTCTAAATTGATGCGCCCTTATCAGCAGCAAATAACAATGAAAATGTCAAGTTTGCAGTTCTTCTGAATATGTTGAAAAGTCACGTAGAAGTTGGTATTCTACGCCACCAGCTGATTCATGGCAGTTCCTACTATTATAAATCTGAGCTAACCTTCAAAATTATAATCTTAAGAGAGCCAACACCGCAAATTTTACACTTTAATCCATTTTCTAAAAAAAGTTTATTTTCTTAATTCAAGGCGTTTCAATACGGACGAGAAGTCCAAGAGTGAATTGATCTACGTTTTGGTTTTTCTGTGAAATACTTGCAGTAACTGCAAGGATAATAGTAGGAAAACGTGTCATCCCTGCACATCTCCAAGCATTCCTTATAGGTCGTCTGCAAAGTAGACTGTAGCTAAATCAGCCAAATTGGCCTGATTCGATTACCGGTATATCAAAAGGAGCTGCAACGAATATCGCCTGGGCACATGCGATCACAATGAGGAACAGTATAGCTGCTTGCATTGCTCTAGCCTTTGACTAGTCTATGATGAAACGAATTTTGCACCCCCCCCTCCCCTCCTTCATCTAGCTTTTCCATGATTAGCATGTTGCTGTGTAAATGTCATATTCAAATACGCTTCAATCATAACATACATCGGAATATTAAGTTGATGCACGATTGATGCGTATCTAATTGTAAGCCGTTAGAGCCTATCTAACGGCCATTAACATACCCGCTGGGGAGTTGCCTAAAAGAAAGCTGCATATCCTGAAGCCCCAGATGTTTGGATTTCACACTGTCTACCCATTCTTAAGTATTCCCTTATAAATATATTGAACAGGCGCGTTATGTTGTACGAGCCAGATTTTTCAGCTTTGTATGATCCCTTAATAATCCGCTACCGTCTTTTCTTCGAAATCGTATTTCTTCCTTCGCAGTCAACGAAGACGTTCCAAAGTTGTACTGATTATCTGATCCAACAGTGCTAAGCATGTTCCCGATAAGAACGAATTATTCGAAGTTAGAAAATTGCGATGAAGGAAGAAATTTTTCAATAACTCATTTCTTATCAGAAACATGCCTTATACTAAGCACTGTTGTACAACTAGCATTTTCCGGATTTCCATGTGATTCTCTCACGATCCTCAGCGGCCGGCTGAATTTTCTTTGAAGTGTAAAGTCGCAGGGCTCCTGTGATCCTTTACCTGTTTCTTGCCTGTTGTCTAGTCTTTTTAAGTCGGTTTGTGAGCGCTAATTTGGTGTTTTGATCCTTTTGTTATGTTTTGGTTGATCCGTGTTCCATGCGATCGGGCGCCTGCACGTCTTCTCGGGCCGCTAAAGGGGGGATTGCTTGGCTCAAATCAGTTTCTCGTCGGTGTTACGAGGAGTGGGGTTGGATCAAACCGAAGCCAACCCGAGGAGACGTGCAAGCGCCAATCGCCGGAGGACCGCCGTCCTTCAATATAGGAATTGATTACATCAAACCTCTAGACAACCACATGAACCTCCGCAGTAGCGCCCAACCGAGGTATCCTATCGCGTGACCCGAGAGAGCCAAGCCTCCTTGACAGAAGTCTTTTTTTTCTTCGAATTCAATGAAAATGTCTCAAAGTTGTACTAATCTGAGGTCTCGTGCATACTTCACGCGACTTTAGTCACCATGTGATCTGGCAACCTGCCAGTCCTTAGATCCAACACCGGCACGCTACCGATGCATGGCGTGTCTAGCTTCCCTAAGTTGGTGTGAAGCCCTATCTTCTGTGCTCTTGAAATGTGTTTAAGATAAGTGTCAAACAATTGGAGTGTTCCTAGGTCGCCTTGCGCTGAAATCGCGTGAAGTATGACAGGGGATTTTGGAAAAAAATGACTGAAGAAGAGAAGGCGCCGCCGGGAATCATAAGGGGACCAAACAAAAAGCTGAAAATGCGGCTTGTACAACTTCTCGCTTCTGTTCAATAGGTTTATGGTGAAGGATAGTAGGAATACGAATGCTAGACAGTATGAAATCCGGGCATCTGGAGTGGTATTTACCAATTTATCAATCTCCCACTCGCTGTTCGGGCCATTGTTAACGAGAGCCCGAACAGGCGAGAGCGCCAACCCGTGGGTTCAACAAATGGTCCGATCTGATAAGTTTGGCCATGTTGGGCACGGCAGTCGGGCAGCAGAGCCCGATCTCGACGGGTCGGGCTCCGCTGCCCGAGTGTCGTGCCCGACATGGCCAAACTTGCCAGATCGAACCATATTGTTCAATAGACAGGAGCCCGATCATAGCTTGGCTTTATATATCGCGTTCGCCAGTGCTCGCGCCTGTGCGGGCTGTCACCTGTACAGGAACCCCTTCCTACATAGGAGGTTGATAAATACTGCCCCTAGAGATTCGAATTTATAGCTTTCCTTTAAACTACGTTTCCCTCTGCAGGGGAGGGGGGGGGGGGTATTAATGCACGCGGCATCAAGTCTAACATTTGCTATCTTTGCTTGTATCATTCCCACGAGATAACGTTTTTTAATGAAGTATTTATATGCAACAACTGTACTGTTGACGCTCAATCAACATAACACTTGTACAGCAAAATGCAAATTTTTCAGCAGCAGAAGCAAAGAGGCTAGACATTTGCTTCATTCACATCTCTGAGACGATGGGAAAAGCTGTAGTGCTTCTCATTATGATCGCCTTTATTCAAGCGAAACTCTACAAACCAAAACCACGTGATCTCTACGATCCAATACCAGATAAGGAGAAGAACGTGGTAAGTAAAGCAGGTTGACACTCACAAACGCTTGTATCTTATTAAGTTTTTTTGAGAGAGACTTTATCGACGAATGCCCGGCTTTGTGCAGAATGATAATGATGACCGACGAATTCTATAAAGCTAAGTGCGGTAAATGTTTGGAGGGAAAGTCAAGATTTTATCCAGTGTTTAAAATGAAGACGACTTTAGATCCTAAGTGAAGAATAAATAATTTCTTGACAAATCTAGAGAATTCAGAACTAGCAATTGATTTTCTAAGATTCAAACAAGAGCAGCTCAGAAAAAATTGTGGTAAATCGCAATTGCTTTCAAACAATCTTCATCGTCTCTGAGGATTATGAGCTTAACTTAGAACCAGCGATTGTATTCTTAAGAATCGCTCAAAACACATCCTGATTCAAAAAAAACTCAATCTTAACATTTTTTTGCTTCCGGACTGTTCGTGAGGTATAATACAGTGAGAGTTTTTCATGTGAAATCAGAATCTGCATCAAACGCTAGGAACAAAATCTTCCGAAAACGAAACTGAAATCACTATTTAATTTATTCGCAAAACACACTGCCGCAGTGCAACATTCAGTAGGATAAAATACAAAGCGATTGAATTGGTGGCTTAGTTTCTTACAATTTCGGTTTTTCAATCTACTTCTACAAAATTTTACTCTGCTGCACCTGCAGGAATTTTTGAGCTTACAATTAGATATCTATCCTGCAAAGTATGTGCGAGTCATTGCATGCAGAGGTTGGCCGCAACTGCGGACTCTGTCGGCGTCTCTGCGATCAAACACACTTTCAGTCCTCCAGACGTCTGCTGTCTGTCTCAAACACGAACTATCTTGACTGGACGCGGAGACGTCTAGTCTCTGCGCTCGATAAAATGCGTATGACCCTTCCTTCATAATCTCTCGTGTTTTTTTTTCATCTTGTAGATCACTGTAAAAATTTTTTGAATTTGACGAGTAGAAGATTGGATGGACCCCAAAAATTACGTGTTTCTTTCACAATTTTCATTGACTTTGAGTTCGCAAATTATCAAATATTCTGAACGCTTTACAAGAGGGTACTGTAAAGTAAAAAATATTTCTACCTCAAAATTTACACTGGAAGAGATCACAGTAAACCACAAAAGGGTTACAAAATTTAACGCACCTATTTTCACTCTAAGTTTTGCGTTCAAAAACTATGCAAGTGATAAGAAAGGCAGAAATAGGGAAGAATCAAAACTCATAGATAGTGAAAAATAGATAATTTGAGTGAACAGAAAAATTTCAAATTCAGCTACGCATTTCTACACGAATATGTTCTTGATGAAATAAATGCACACAAACATAAGAAAATTTTCGAAATTTGCGGAAATATTCTCAATTTCTCCTACTTTCAATAGCCATTCTGAGCAGAATCTCATGTTTGTTATGAATTTTAAAAGAAATTTGAGTTAGTCTGATAAAAAATTCAAACCGTAAATGTTTGAGAGTCTCTGAAAGGGAGAGAATAAGAACGTACGAAGAAAGAGCCTAAAATACGTTGTCTTGAAAGAAGCGCTCTATTAGCCACCTCCGAACACAAAGCTTCCCTTCAAAAAACTCGTAAAACTTGTGAGTGGTGATTTCTTAGTTTTGTGTTTAATGTTCTTCTCTCAGAATGTTTATTTATGCTCGAAATTTTTTTTATCATTTCTTAAGACTTCCTGCTTTTTTCTACCATCAATCTTTAAACAAAGGCGTAAGAGTTAAGAAAACCAAGGGTCCAACCCAGGAGTCCGAACGAATAGAAATTGACGCTTAAATATATTGTATTTACCAGATATTACTTGTAACCAAGAATACGAGGTTTTTGAAAAGAATTTCCAAAATCGAAAAAGATTCAGTACACCATTTGAGGATTAAGTTTGAGTTTTGAAAAGTCATATATCAAAGCTCTACAGCAGAAGTCAAGTTCATAGCAGATGTAAAGTAAAATAGAGTTTTTTAACAATTAATTAGCTAGAGATAAACTTTTGCTCGAATAAAACGAACTTTTGATTAAGTAGGAGTGAATTAATACCTCTTGAACATGCACCAGGTGTCACTAAGTTCAATTTTGGGTTTTAAAAGGCAGCAGTGACCTTTTACCATCTAATACAGCAGATGAAACTTTTACACTAATAGAAATCCACATTTAAATATGAAATTTATTAGTATAAGGAAGATTTCCTCGACTTTGTTTGTCTTCTGTGTGAAAGCATTTGAAGGCACATATAGTAATCATAAATGTAGTTTTTGCTGACTAGACTATATCCAAAATTGTCCCAAAATATCAATTTTTTATCATAGTCTTCTAATTTCAGAATATTGCTTCAGCTTTTTTGCTTGCGTAAATAATTTGACGTAACTTTTGATCTCCTCATGTGGTGTCGAAAACATCGAATGATAGGCTACCTCTCTTGCTAACATCAACGATTTTACAAAGGATTTTTATTTGTTATTTTCAAAGGATGTATTCTTTATTTACCTATCAATCCATTCCATAAGTTCCAAAGTGTGCAATAAAATTTCAACAATTATGCACTCAAAAACTTGATTCATCAAAAAAATAAAACAAACTTGCAATGAAAAGCAATTAATCATTCTAGGCTTATCTGATACAGTTGATAAAACTCCTAAAACCATGAAGAAAACGAATCTAAGCGCCTCCTCAAACAAACATTGCTAAAACAGCCGATTTTTTGAATTAGTGCGATCAAGCTTTTGAAATTTGCATCGATTAAGGGTTTTTTTTTAAGAAAATACTGTTTCTTATGCGAGATTTTTCTGACGGTAGAAGGACTAATTTTAAATGGCCACCTTCCTAATAGGGAAAAGCTTCTAGTTCTGAGTATACAAAGTTCTCAACTCGGATAAAATAAAGTATCCGCGATAGATTTACCCCCGTTGCAAAAAATCACCAAAAACGTTGAACATGAGTTTCTTCAAGATAGGTTTCTTTTTAAAGATGATCTGACTATTAGATTTCACACAAGCAAAAGATTCAGAAAACATGAGTTTTTGAAAACTTTTCTAATGCTTCATTAGAATTAAGGATTTAGGCAAATTGCGAGTTTTAGCTTGAGGTTCATCTAAGGTCAGAAACACGCTTAGCACAGTTAAGGTAGATAATCAGTACAACTAAGTTTCCATTTACTTTAAAAAAACCTTTGAAGAAGAGGCGGTTTGCAGTTGGGGATCACCGGGAATCATGCAATAAGCTGGGAAATGCAGCTTATCATTGATGCGCTCCTGTTTTCAATATGTTTATGGTACGGATAAATGAAAGCACTTGAGGATGCAAAGATAGCGTAATTTCCAAAAGTGTGGAGCTAAGGCAGCGTTCCAGCAGAAGGAATTCGGAATTAATTCAAGACTTTCCGGCTTTGCATAATTTTATACGAGCACAAATTCGCGTAAAAACTCCACGACTCTGTTTTCCGAAGGTAGAAAAACGTAGAAAAACGTCCCGTAGAAAAACGCGGACGTGTTGTCTCGCTCTACTCTAGCTTTGGCCGCAAACACGTCAAGAATAATGGCGGTACCTGGAAAGATGTGTTCAGAGGCAATGGGAAAATGAAAAGTCCTCCAGCAATCGCCGAACTGCGCGCCATGCACCACTTTAAAATCAGCGTTAGGGCAAAATTGTCCACCCTACCTCAAATGTGACGCAGTTTGGGAGAAGTCTTGAAGGCACCCGCTTTCCTCTCAACTATGCAAAACAGCAAGCTCCGCTCCGGAATTGTAATTCTGAAAGCTATGTGGGAGGGATAAGCGTCGCTCCCCTTCCACCTTCCGCTCCTCCAACACCTGTACAGACGAGCTTTCAGGTTACGCGCGCTACCTTTCACATTGCAAGGTAACACTATCTATGATAAATTAGAGGACTATATAAGCTGTACCAACCAGCATCGGTTATGCGACGTCGCGCCTGCGGCGACTTGCGACGATGCGATGTGAGGCGTGCGAACTTTGCCAAGTATTAATGCACGTCGCATGCGAGGGTGCGTCCTCGCAAGGCATGTTGGCGCGGGACCGATGCTGGCTGATACAGCCTAACTTTTGGCGAATATAGTCCTCCACTCTCTATGATACATGTTTTCGTTTCACTGCAACAAGTTAGCGTTAAAATACTTGTCTACGCTTTCAAAAAAGATTCCAGACGAGGATTTCACGCAGTTTTCAGTTTGGATTTGGAATCAGGGACGTCGAAAGGGCCAAAAACCCCAAAACGCGGAAGTCGAGTGTTTGCTCGGGCTGCCTTTGAAGGCCTTTGTCCACCCAAATCTTCAGTTTTGAGTCTTTGTCCTTCTTAGCACCTCTTGCGCCCACTGAGTCCGAATCCAGGCCTAAAATCAAAAGAAAGTCCTCAACTTATTGAGCTTCGGATGCCTTCCAGAATCAGTAAACGAGCACCCCCCCCCCCCCCCCCCCGCCGCGGGCGCTACGGGTCCATGGCTGGGCAGGGACGCACTTTTGCATGATTCAATCGATTCCTTGAGCTTTGCGTATGCTAGGCGAAATCACTGAGTGGGCGGGACGAACGCACCGCCCACTCAGTGATTTCGCAATGCCCACTTGCTAAGGAGAAGCCAACGTGGCGACCGCCTTCCGAAGGGTTTTCGAAACGATTCTCTCGCTTCGGAAGCAACTTCAAACAGCGCGAATTGGGCAATTATATAGTTGGGGGCTCCGCATGTTAGACCCTCACAAACCCCAGTTTGATGGACGGTGCCTTTGAAAGCACCGTCCATCAAATAATCGATTTAGTTTTTGTCCTTTTCAGCACCTCTTGCGCCCGCTGAGTCCGAATCCAGGCCTAAAATTGAAAGAAAGTCTCAAATTATTGGATTCGAATCCTTCAGAATTCGCCGACGACGAGCACTCCTTGCGCCTTCCGGTCAGCCGCGGGCCTACTGCGCGCACATGGCAGGGCAGACAGCTCTATCGCACGATTTGATCGATTTTCTAAGCTTTGCGCCTGTTAGGCGACGTCGCTGAGTGGACGGGACGAACGCACCGCCCACTTGCTAAGGAGAAGCCAACGTGGCGACCGTCTTCCGAATAATTTTCACAGCGATTTTTTCGCTTTGGAAGCAACTTGAGACAGCGCAAGTTGGGCAATTATGCAGATGAGGACCCCGCAACTGTTAGACATCGAAATCTCATAGATCCCATTTTGGGTGGACGGGCCTTTGAGCATTCTCTGCGTGGGAAGCAGCTCATCGAATGGGGCATAGGCCCAATAGGGGCGCCTGATGAAATCCGCAAAATCCGGTATATCCCGCAGTGGTGAGACACTGCCTTTGAATATGTTATATGTGGTCTACCAGAACCGGATATGAGGAAGACTAGCAAATTGATAGATCGCGTGGCGACCGAAATCCCGGGAACTCGCAGCCTCAGAGGCAGCCCCAGTGAGACTCTTAGCCTCTAATTTTTTTTCTTAGCCTTCATTTTTTAGAGGTTTTTCCGATTTGACAAATGGCACATAAAAAGCGCAAAACCTCCGGAAACTATTTTTTGAAGCTCTTTTCACTTCTTCTTCTGTAGGCAAAAGCCGCCATAGACAAAGGTGCGCGGCTCGACTGTGCTGGATGCAAAATCTGATTAGCCTTAACCGAGGTATGGCGGGTGTGACTATTTATTAGGTTGTCTCATAAGTTTTTCAATTTTGACTTTTCAAAGCAATAAGTCACATACATTTAATTCTTGATTAGGATGCGGGGTACCGTTCGGTAGAGCAAAGCGAAATCTACAAAATGGCATGTAAGATTTCGCACCATTCACACATCACTAGTCAGAAGCCAAAATCTGAGAACTTTTGGATGCCCAGAAAATTGAAAATTTCTCATAACTTTTTTCTTAAAAAACTTACCAGATTCCAAACTCGCTCACGCATATGCACTCCACACAATGCATTCATATGTACCGTTGCTGTGTTTATTTCTGTGCTAGAAACCGAGAAAACCAAAATTTTCGAGATTCCAAAGAAACGTTGCTGCGCTGTTTTCACACAGGTAAATGTGTACTACAGGCCTTTAGGAGACATTTACAGATTTCCAGCTTTCTATGAGCTCTAGTTCCCGAGAAATATTAATTTCAACATAAAATACCTCAACAAAAAAGCTAAATTCGGTATTTCTCAAGAACTAGCGCTTCCAAGAAGCCGAAAATTTATTCATGTCTTACTGGAAGCCAGTAGCGTACATTTGCCTGTGTGAAAACAGCGCAGCATCGCTTTTTTGGAAGCTTGAAAATCTTGATTTTTTCGGTTGCTAGCACAGAAACAAACACAGCAACGGGCACGTAAGAATGTGTTGTGGGAAGGTATAGTGAGCGAGTTTTGGACCTGATAATTTTTTTCTTTGGACGAAGTTATAGAGAATTTTTGATTTTTGGGCATTCAAAAGTTCTCAAATTTCGGCTTCTAACCCCTGATGTGCTGAATCTGGTGCAAACATTTACATGCCATCTTATAGAGCTTGCTTTGCTTCATCGAACGGTACCCTGCATCTCAATCAATATTGAAAAATGTATGACTTATTGCGGTAAAAAGTCGATTGAATAATTTGTGGGACAACCTATAGAAAAACGAGACCTTGGAAAAAGCTTTATACAACAGCAGTGGATCTCTTGCTGGGGTGCGACAGTATCCACCCACCCTGCGTGAATTTTCTAAGCGTGTCGCGCGCGCGGCAAATCTCTTCTTGCCCTACTGATTAGGCGAAAGCTGCAGCAGAGTTTGTCGAGAGTGTTTAGAGTGAAAATGGTTCAAAATTACGGTCGTGCGAGCAGCCTGCGCCTCTTCTGATTGTTTATGGAAGGAATCGGTAAGTTAGCGAAGTGGGCAACAAACATCATGTTAGGTGGGAGTTGAGAAACCTGTTCATATCTGTCTGTATCAGCAACAATTTCACAATGAAAAAATGTAATAATTGCCATTTTTTTCCAATTCGAACTAATCTAAGACCACGGCAAAGACAACGGCCCGCAGTAAACCCTAGTCCCGAGATAGCTGAAGACCTATGTGAGGGCTTAGGACGACAAATTTGGAAGAAAAAGCAGTTCGTTCAAAAATTTTTCGGTGCCACCATAGAGAAAAAAATGTGCGATTCTGAGTTGCACATGTGCTGCAATTCATGTCAGCTAACGCGTTCCATAAGCTACTCAAGCAGCTTACGGATTTTGCTCTGCATCTCCTTGCAGGCATACTGTCTGCGCAAACCGAGCTAACGGTAATCGCTCCGCTTACGGCAGGCATCGCAGAACATTCCGGGCAACTGACCGCCCGCTCAGAAGTCAGCTCACCTTGCACTTTTATAGCACCGGAGCAAATGGGTCGCAAGACTAATATATGTTGCATCAACCAACATGCGACGTCGCGCCTGCGGCGACTTGCGACGTTGCGATGCAACGCGTGCGAACTCTGCTGTGCTTTACAGCTCGTCGTATGCGGCGGTGCGTCCTCGCACGGCATGCTAGTGCGGGCCGATACTCGCTGATACAGCCTATAGTTTAGTGGTTTCATCTGAGGGGTCAGCTTAGTCATCTGAACTGAGGAAGATTTACTGCGGGTCAACATTTCAAGGCAGCAGGTAGGACATCAAGTAAATTCCATGCCAGAGCTACTCTTCATGCTGTAAATGTCAATAAAATATTCGCTTCTACAGGGTGTCCCAAAAAAATGTATCGAACGTTTGATCGTTAATATCTCTCTTCCCAAGAAGTCTTTTGCTTTGCTTCAACTACCGTTTTGTAGAGCTGGCTTCAACTTAGATTTGCATTATAGAATGAATCGCCCATCTCTCTTCATTACTGTAGTAAAACGGTGGAAACTTGAGACATATGGTGTCAATGTGGAAGAAGCTGCCGTTTCAAAACTTTTCGAAAAAATGTGAAAACTTGTGAACAGGGTTTCTATAGACGCTGAGTTCAATACTCAACTATTCACAAGATTACGAAGCTTTCTAAACGGTGTAACCGCACTTTTTAGGAACATTGAAAAAATGGCCGCTACCTCTTACTTGGCATAACTCTTCAATGAAGCATCATAATAAATTGGGAACTTTACAATTATAATTAGCAACTTTAAGTAGCCTAGTGTAAAAGTTTTCAGGCTGTATTGTTTCCTTTCTGGGGCAAAATGTGGCCTTTCGTTGCTTAAAACCCTCTTTGAAGTTTCTACCGTAATCCTACAGTAGCGAAGAGAGGTGAGTGATTCGTTCTATAATGCAAATCTAAGTTGAAGCCAGCTCTACAGATTAATACCTGAAGCAAGGGAAAAGACTTCTTTAGAAGAGAGATATTAACGATCAAACGTTCGATACATTTTTTGGGACACCCTGTATATTTCACCAGTGGGGACGAGTGGCATATTAGTATAAGGCGCCGCTATAGCCAGATCGGACCAAGATTCGATTTCGTCCTTGGGATTAACCGAGTCCTTTGTTTCTCGCGGGTGAATTGGTTCAAAGTAATCGGAGGATAGAAGCACTGACTTGGAATGGATTGATTTTTACAAGTCATTCTAGAAGACTTCACGCATTCAGTAACCTCTTCACTACGAAGTGGAATACGTTCGGCACAGGCATAAGGGACGTCGAATACTTTATCCTGCATTTTAGGGAAACAGAAGAACGAAAACCAACTATAGTTAAGTAAATGAAAAATGTTTATTCCTCCTCAGATCCCGAATCCTGGGTTTCTTCCTTTATTTCCTCCTTTTTATTCTTCCTTTGCTGGTTTTCAACACGGTGAGGATAATCTAGTTCACCCACTTCTGGGATAGAACCATCTATGAAATTTGGTTTATTTGAACCTACAGGGCTTTGACCATATGGTCTATTTGGGTTTACAGCATTTCCAAAATAAGTTGGTCCATTTGGTGCAGTATTTTGAGGGTAATTTGGTCTATGCAGATTTACAGAATTTTGAGAGTAAGTTGGTCCACCTAGATTTACAAAATTTTGAGGGTAATTTGGTCTAGGTAGATTTACAGGATTTCGAGAGTAAGTTGGTCCACCTAAATTTGCAAAATTTTGAGGGTAAGATGGTCCACCTGGATTTGCAGGATTTTGAGGGTAATTTTGATTTACAAAACTCCGAGCGTAAGTTGGTCCACCGAAATTTACAAAATTTTGAGGGTAAGATGGTCCACCTGGATTTGCAAAATTTTGAGGGTAATTTGGTCTATGTAGATTTACAGGATTTCGAGAGTAAGTTGGTCCACCTAAATTTGCAAAATTTTGAGGGTAAGATGGTCCACCTGGATATGGATTTCGAGGTTGATAAGTTTGTCCATCTGGTGTTTGAACAAGAAAGTAAGTTGAATACGGCATAGCAGAATCTTGAGGGTAAGTTGGTCCATCTTGATTCACAAAATTACGAGGGTAACTCAGTCCATATGGATTTACAGAAGCTCGATGGTAAATTGGTTGATCTGGATTCACTGAATTTTGAAGGTAGGTTGGTCCATCTGAATTCAATGGATTTGGAGGGTAGATTGGTCCATCTGGATTCACTGCATTTTGAGGATAGGTTGGTCCAGCTGGTTTCAATGAATTTGGATTGTAAATTGGTCCATTTGAGTTTATATAGTTTTGAGGATAAGTTGGTCCATTTCGCCTTGTAGGTTTTCCACATTCATTGCAAGCAACTTGGTTGCCTTTAGTAGGTTCATCCACGCAAACCTTTAGGCATTCTAAATTTTGCTCTTGTTCAGCAAGCCAACTAGAGCGGTGTTTCTGAAAAAAATATGTACAAGCTGTACAAGCATTTGTTGGTGCAAACCATTAGCCTTTTGCTTACCGGTGCACCATGACCTAAGTCGAAGTTTGCTGCCTGGGTAGAAGCGAATACAACGACAAAGAGGATGGCACCCTGCATTGAAGTGAGTTATGAAAAGAGATTTGCCCCCCTCCCATCCCATCTATTTTGATGAAGAATTAGTATTCTGCTGTACAGGTGTTGAAATTATAAGCGTCAATCATACATACATCACATATAATTATTACATTATAGTGCATTTCACTTCGTGACAGTGATGTATGCAAAGACAAATCTTCGATTTGCCCGTAAAGCCACACACATTCAAAGTTTTTACAACGTTTATCCACAGCTTCATTATAAGCCTAAGTTCATATATACTTGCCCATGTGCTAGCACAGGGCAGTGCGCCCGCGAACGTACGGAAGACGAGTTACTGCGACACGGTCTATCTGCATATAGATACGTAATATATAGTTCTTATCATTTCTTCGATATTCTAGAGGTAGGGCCTCAAAAGTGTTCAATTATCTCCCCCCCCCCCATCATAAAAAGTTGGTGCTTATAGGAAATCAGGAAAGAGAAAGCTATGCATAATAAGTACATGTATCAAAAGCAGGAGGGACATCGCTTTTAGTTTATTTGGCAAAATTCAGTGCAGGTTCAGGTGTCGCTCCAGACCACCAGACAATCCAAGGGGAAAACGAGGAAAAAATAATTTGTTCGTTGTGATTGTTTCACAAACGAGCATGCTGAATTTTCATGAAGATTAAAAAAATCAGAACTTGTAAAAAGTTGAGTGATGAAATCAACGTTTGTGAAAACCCTAGTACACAGCATTTCAATTTTTTGGGAATTTTTTTCTGAAACTCGGCTAGTCCACAATGACGCTGTGAGCTGGAAGTTTTCAACGTAACTCTACACTAAGAATAGTCATGGATGATTTGCTCCATACTGTAAATCTAAGCTGGTCTATGGTACTTGAAGCTGAGCAAAAGGCTTTGTTTGAAGAGTTATTAACGATTAAAAAGTGTCCGTGCTGAACTTCTCCAATTGTGGAACCGTTTCAGCTGGTACAGCACCGTCGGTGCTGCCATTAAAATACTGCGAAATAAATGCGATATTGCGGCGGAAGCGCAGTCAGGGTTATTCTCCTAAAAGTCAGAATCAGTTAAACAAGAGAGGCATATCCTCTGGAAAAGCTCATTCTAACTTATCCAGAAATGCATTATTTTCTTGCAAAACCTTCCTTTCAACTTTATCTGACGCTAAAATTATGCACCCACATCCTGAGTACTGCAGCTGTAATTGATTACGCGGTATCCTTGATTAACTTGAGTTTACGGTCACCTAATTTTGCAAGGAACACGGGTTTCGCAAAAAAATAGCGCCGTTTCGACAGATTTCTGAACTTTCCGAGCTTTTTCCGAATATGTGCTTTTCTTTGTGAAATTCTGACTTTAAGCAAACTCACATGGGATACGGTGTTTCCGACGCGATATCGCATATATTTCGCAGATTCTAACGCCGGCACCATGGCACCGTAGCTCACATAATTTTTTCGTACTTTCTGCATATATCAATGACTCCGTGAATATTTTCATACAAGCAAAAACCATTCCATAATCTTTATGTTAGGCTTTTCTATAACCCTCAAACAATTTACATTGGCAACGCAACCTGCTCCGATCGCAAAGCACCCCCCCCCCCCCTCCCCAAGCAGTTTAATTCGGTCTTGGTTGTGCTCGCCTTTCTGCCTCCTTTTTTTCTTTTCATGTTCTTACTTGTTATACGTATTTGTTATCATATTCAGAGGAGGGGGAAGGGGAGGGGGATGAGGTGGAGAGAGGAGGGGAAAGAATTGGGAAGTGAATAGGGTAGATGTGGAGGGAGGAGACAAGTGCTAGACCGGCACGTTCAGGCTCCAACCATGTAGCAAAACGCGTTCGGCGCATGATGCGGGAAGTGATCAGAATTTTTCTCGAAATTTTCTGCTTGATAAATACTAATAGAGGAATTTTCAGCCCCACCTTCTACTCTGGTATAAACGACACACAAGCAAAAAAGAAAGCGAGAAATAGTGATGGGGGTGAAGGGGGTGGGGGGGGGGGGAGTAAAAATTGAAGGGACTTCTTAAGAATTATTGAAAAGCAAAGGGGCTTCCTTACAAGTCCTGGTTCCAGCTGATGCCGAGCCCTGTTTCCACTAAATGACGCTTCCTAATGTGGTGATTATACGCAATAATTATGCAGATGCTGCTCATCAACTAAAGCCTTTGTGCAGCAGAATGCTAATTATCAAAAGCAGAAGCAAATGGTGCAATACACGCGAAACTTTTCAGCACAGATTATGGGTTTCAAGAAACAGGTAAGTAAATCAGGGTGACAACAACAAACGCTTGGAACATTTACAAAATCGAATAGAATTTATAAAATCGTGGCAAGGGATTTGATACAGAAAGGCATCACCTCAAGAACTCAGTCACTTCCAGTGACTAAATACTACCATAGGTAAGCAGAAAAACCATTCGATCATAGACAAAAACCGAGAAAATGCGATTAGCGGAAGTGCGTGCATGTCGCGCGCGATCGCCAGATTTCTCGAATGTCTTATACCTAATCCAGATTTTTCTGAGAGATACTTTCTTCTAGCTAGCTTAAAAGTATTGATCTGCAAGATCCGTGCAATGAAGGCTCAGTCTTTGCAAGAGACCGTTAGCAATGCTCTATGAACTCTAGGAAGCTGCTTGCCATAAATGTTTGAAGGAAAAATCGAAATTATGTGGAACAATACCTCGATATTTTCACGGATCATTTGAAAACTTGGGAGTAAAACAAAAAGCATCCTAAGCATTCTTGTGAGTCACATTTTGAGCAGTAGTTCTGAAAGTGGAGAATATGTGGTAGATCAAGTTGCTGCCACACAATCTGTTTTCTTCTGCCTCTCATTTGAAAAAATCACCTTGATACAAAAAAAAGCCTCAGCCTTGACACTTTCTTCTTCCGGACTAATTGTTTGTGAGATATAATACCTTGGAGATTTTTCGTTGCGTCTACACTCAGAAATCGAAACTTTCAGAAAAGGTACAAAATCCACAATCTGATTCATTCGACATTGCCTCAATGCAACATTGAATAAGGTGAAATACAAAGAGATTCAAGGGATAACGTAGTGATATCTTTGGGGTTTCACTCTTCCCAAAAAAAAATTCTGCAGCTTCCGCATTAATTTATGAGTTTGAACATTTGACTTTTAATGCACAAATATAATCTCCCCACTCTAAATTGAGATTTGACGATGTCACGCAGATGTCGCCGGCTCCAGTGTAAATCGCTTTTTTCCATTTTTGTACATTTGTAATCGAGATTTTTTCTAGTTTAACTTTTTCTAGTTTTCTAGTCTAAGTGGAGTTCGAAATTTCCGTCTTCTTTTGAAACACTTTCGCTCACCTCTATAAGTTCGGCCTCGAAATCTTGTAGCAAAAGCATAAAAATCAAGAGATCAAGAGTCTGTTCAGAACAAAGTGTGAGATAGAAATCTACCAATCTAAAAATTGAATCAATCTTGACCTTGCGGTTATCTATGTGATCTATGAACTTGTAACCAAGAAAAAAGATTGTTTAAAATTTTTAAAAAATCGAAAAAGATTTAGTACGCCACCCAGGAAAGGTGAGTGTAAGTCAAAATTTTGTTTTCATTAAGCCACGTCTCAAGCCAAATTCATTGCATGTTTTAAAGTAAAGACGATTTTTCAGATATACGAAATTGAATTTTTGCTTAGCTAGGAACTAAAGTTTTGATTGAATAAAACGAAATATTGATTAGCATTAATCTTCTATTATATGATATAAACAGTCACATCACTTCTACCAGTTAAAATAGTCCACATTTAGGTATAAATATCGTTGGTAGAAAAAGTTTTTTTCAATCTTTTTCTTCCGGGTTAGAGATTTGAATGCTAATAGTAGTCAACGAGTATAGTTTTCGCTAAACAGCATACATATTCAAAAGTGCTTTGCAGTATAGCGATTTCACTGCAGTTTTCAGATTAAAATTGCTCCAGTCAATTTTGTTGGCAGATGAATTTTAGCAATTTCCTTATTTAATCAGAAAACAAATTGATATGCTATCTTCTCCGCTACTGTCAACGGTTTTCTATGTGATAACTGATACCATAAACTCTAAGGTGTGCTACTTGAAAATCTATACACTTAAAGTTGTGAAACGAAAGACGAAACACATATGAGATGCAATTACTATGATTTGGACTCAATTGGCTGTTATAACAAGAAAGGTTCTAAAAACAATCAGAAAATGTTTTCAAACACTTTCAAAGTTGTTAGAACATCGAGAAATTTGATAACGCGACTTTGACTTGAGGCTTATCGAAAGTTCGGAAAAAACATACCACCGTTGGGTTTAGGTAATAGGTACAATTCTAACAAGAAAACGGTCCCTACTTAAGGTGGCGAATTGGAATAAACCGCATACCATTAGATGCGTCTTGATGAGCAGATTCCAAATCTACCTTCTACATCTGCGACAACGTTCTCTGGAAGAGTTATGAAAGGTTTAAAATGTGAAGTAACGGGGGTTTTGATGCATAATTTGCTTTAAAATGCAACTTGGAGGTGCACGACTAGCATCATATCTGATTCCACGGAATGCTCACATTCAAAAGAAAGGCAAATAAATGTTTTTGAATAGCTAGAAAGCAACTAAAGTTCTTTGGTAAAAGCTATGAGCAATGGAAAGTCCAAATTTGGCAAATATACTGCGCAATACCTCGAAAATTAGTTGTTCGAAAACACTTATTTATGTTTCTTTAGAGTGTGAGCATTCCTTGAAATTAGTACACTCAATATCATGCTAGTCATACACTCCCAAGTTGAATTTTGAAGCACACTATGCACTAAAACCCTCGTTGCTTCACGTTTTTAACCTTTCATAACTTCTTCCAGATAATGTTGTCGCAGATACGGAAGGTAGATTTGCAATCAGCTCATCAAGACGCACCTAATGATATGCGATTCATTCCAATTCGCCACCTTAAGTTGGGATCGTTCCCTTGTGAGATGTTTTCATTCACTTCATAAAAAGCAAAACGGCTCTGAAGAAGAGATAGTCGGCCCTGTGGATCGCCAGGGTTAATGCGAAAAGTTGGAATATGCGACATGTGCAGCTTCTCGCTACTGTTCAATATGTTCATAGTGAAGGATGATGGGAACACTTACGGATAGGTAAACTGAAATCCAGATATCTGGAGCTTCAAGATTCGAAGATCGCCAGATCGCAAGAGACGACTGAATTCCCATGAAGTATCCCGGAGCCTCAGAGAAAATCTTCGGTCAGATTCCCAGACTCCAATTTTTGGGTTATGCAGGTCTGATTTAAAAAAATTTCGAAAATACCAGGCGTGATTTCTACTTTTCAAATCTCTTCCACTTATTTTTCTTTATGTAAGAGCCGCCGCTGACAAAAGTGCGCGGCTCGGGCTGAGCTGGATAAAGCATAAGCCCACTTCAGAACGAACTATGGCGATCAGACGAGGTCGTAGACTGAGGTAACAACTTTGCTTTTCTGCGTCTTTATTTTCACACATTTTGAGGGAAAGCGTACTGCTTTTGGCAAAAATGGCAGTTCGGATCATGTAGGCTCTGCACAAAAAGAACTTCAGAGTAATTATTCAAAGAAATTGCTATGGAAAACCTTTTACAACAGTAACGGATCTCCTGTTGATCGTCACGTTGCGGCAAAGTTTCGCAAAAAGTCCGAGTATGGCTTTGGACCGGGAGAAGGCAGTGATGCGCAGTAATAAGCAGCCATCCTGCGTGAATTGTTCAAAGTGTCGCCGGCGCAACAAATTTTCTCTCTTCCTACTAAACACACACATTTTTTCTCTTCCTACTGACCTACTTGTCTTTAAGTGGGCAGCAAGCATTATGTTTGTTTGAAAATTAGAAATTGTGATTCATGTCTGTATCAGCAGCACACCGTGAAATGTAGTCATTTTTTCCAAATCGAGATAATATGAGTCCATGTCAAAGACAATGGTCTTTAGTAAACCTCCGTCATCCTAAGTCGGCTGAGGAAAGCCTACATTGAAGCTATGGCGCCTGAGCGCAATATCAATCATGATCGATTTGATGTGAGCAGAAAACAGAAACATCATAGCCCTGGAGTGTCATCATAGCAGAATCTGCAGTTGACGTTGTGAAGAAGAATACTTGTGAAACTAACAATATGGGGGGAGATAAACGATAAAGTTGCCTTCTGTTTTACAAAAATGCAGTCCAAAGCGCAATGCGACGTAAGGGCTTAGCAAGGGGAAGATATTGGAAGGAGAAGCAATTTTCCCGACTTTTTGGCTCCATCAAGAAGAAAAACGTCTGCAATCAAGACACTACTGTACACTACTGTACACTACTGTACACTACAGTTCACGTCAGCTAAAGTACCCAGTTACTCTTGAGCAATTTACGGATTTCCTTCTGCGTTAATAGCCTTTCGATACGAAGTAGAGTGCGTTCGGCGGATACTAACACAAGGCACCAGAAACGCCGAGTCGTTTATCCTCTGTTTTACCAGCAATCAAAAAATATTTATTTTGAAACACCATAATACAAAACGATAAAGAATCTAGTTCATCAATCTGGCAGGATAGATTAACCTATAGAATTAGCTCATCTGATTCTATAGAGTCTCTATCATCTGGACTTATTAGATTACACGATATCGAGGGTAAGTTAATTCATTTTGATTTACAGAATTTTGAGGATAAGTTGGTTTATCTTGTCTTACAGGAAAAAAGGTAAGCTAATAAGTTGGTCCATCTGGATTCACGGAAATTCGAGGGTAAATTGCTCTATTTCGATTTACAGAATCTTGAGGGTAAGTTGGTCCATCTGAGTTACAATTTGGAATGTTAGTTGATTCATTTGGATTTACAAAGTTCGTGGGTAATTTGGTTTATTTGGAGTTAGATAGTCTCCAAGATAAGTTGATCCATCTGGATTTACAAAATTTTGAGGATAATTTGGTCCATTTGGATTTAGATAGTCTCCAAGATAGATTCTAAATTTACAAAATTTTGAGGGTAATTTGGTCCCTTTGGATTTAGGTAGTCTCCAAGATAAGTTGATCCATCTGGATTTACAAAATTTTGAGGGTAATTTGGTCCATTTTGATTTAGATATTCTCCAAAATAAGTTGACCCATCTGGATTTACAAACTTTTGGGGGTAATTTGGTCCATTTGGATTTAGATGTTCTCCAAGATAACTTGACCCATCTGGATTTACAAACTTTTGAAGGTAAGTTGGTCCATTTTGATTTAGATGTTCTCCAAGATAAGTTGACCCATCTGGATATACAAACTTTTGAGGGTAAGTTGGTCCATTTTGATTTAGATGTTCTCCAAGATAAGTTGACCCATCTGGATTTACAAACTTTTGAGGGTAAGTTGTTCCGTCTGGGTGTAGATAATTTGGAGGTTTAGTTGGTCCATTTAGATTCACATAGTCCCCAAGATTAGTTGATCCATCTGGATTTACAAGATTTTGAGGATGAGTTGTTCCGTCTGGGTTTACATAATTTGGAGAGTTAGTTGGTCCATTTTGATTTCCAGAGTCTTGAGGATAAGTTCCATTTGCGTTTACAAAATCTGGAGGGTACGTTGGTGCACCCGGATTTACAGGATTTTGAGGGTGGGTTGGTCCATGTTGATTTACAAAATCTTGGGGGTAGGCTGTTTCAACAAAAATGTTTTCACATTCCCTGCAAGCAACTTGATTGTCTTCAGCAGGTTCTTTCACGCAATTCTTCAAACATTCTACAAACTGCTCCAGCCTAGCACGATCTTCCTGGAAAAGATATGTTCAAGCTGTATAAGAGTTTGTTGGTGCCAACCATTAGCTTATTTTGCTTACCGGTGTCTCATGCCTTAAGTCGATTATTGCCTGGATAGAAGCGAACACGTTGAGAAAAAGTATAACAGCTTGCATTGAAAGTAAACTATGTAAAGAAAGTTTCCCCCTTCCCCTCATCCCATTTTGATGAAAAATCAGTATTCCGCTTAGATGTTAAAATTATATGCGTCGATCAATTACACTGAAATACGTCCCACTCCGCGGCAGTGATGTATGTATGCAGAAGCACTTTAGGAAGGTTTCGAATTGCTGATCAAACCTCACACATTCACAGTTCCTACAAAGTTTTCCACCGCTGCATAAGGCTGTATTCGTACATAGTTGTCCATGTGCCAACGCAGGGCACCGCGCTGCAAACGCTCGCGAGCGCATATCGCAGGCGGCTGCGATACGTGCATTTTGGATATACAGTGACAGCCAAAAAAGTTGCGGACAAGCCGCCTTCCTTTTTTCATCGCTCATTTTCGAATGGAAAACAAAGATGAAAAAATGTTTGGATTGCATGAGGCGATAGAGCTCTTCAAGAGCTACAACTCACACATTGTGCTTTCTGGAAAACCTGCATTTTAGAAATTTTAAAAAAAATTTTTCTAAGAAGAGTCCGAAAATGGCCGCGTCACAATGTCGCGGACAATATTTCTTCGAACGCGAAAATTTCCTGTTAGGTCCTACTTTTGAGTGGAAACACATGTAATCCGAACAGGCACATACTACATTATAGAGCTCATCGAGGACAATAATCAGGTAGTGGTTACTTCCAAAAAAAATCCAAACTTGAATTATATTTTGCTTTTTTTCAAAAAATAACTTCTAGTTTCCTTTTTCAAGCCATATTTCTTCAAATGTAAACCTACTCAAGACATCCTAACAAAGCTGTTCGACTAAAATGGAAGCTTTTTGCCATCCTGTATGCATCGGACGTGTGCTGGTGAGTTTCTTTGCTGAAAATGGCTCTTGACAGTGCGTGCACATAACCCCACCTGCACCTCACCACTGAATTACACGCTTTGCAGGCTTGTAGCTCGATCGGCAGTCAAGCCTGCTAGTAGGCTCATTCGAAAGAGCGTGCCTTTCTCCACACGAAGGTAGGCAAATGAGTTCAGTTTCAGGAATAACAGAGATTTGGCGGATGCGGTGACAGAGCGCAGCTTCTGTGGTATGGTAAAGTTGAGCAAAGCTCCTTTCGCTACTAGTTCCATTCTGGAAGTTCAAAAACGTCAATTTATATGCAATAGATCCATTTCGGAGCTCTAAGACTGTTCTGGCGTTGATAGGAGCCTTCACTCCAATCACCTCTAAGGCTGCGCTTTGTCACCCCATCCGCCAAATCTCTTATTCCTGAAACTGAACTCATTTGCCTACCCTCGTGTAGAGATAGTCACGCTCTTTCAAATGAGCCTACTTGCAGGCTCGTAGAATGACTGCCGGTCGAGCTACAGGCCTGCAAAGCGGTGCAATTCAGTGGTGTGGTGCAGGTGGGGTTATGTGCACGTACTGTCAAGAGCCATTTTCAGCAAAGAAATTCACCAACACACGTCCGATATAGAGGATAGCAAAGAGCATCCATTTCAGTCGAAAAGCTTTATTAGGATGTCTTCATTAGGTTTACATGTGAAGAAATTTGGCTTGAAAAAGGGAACTGAAAGTTATTTTTTGAAAAAAAAGCAAAATAAAATTCAAGTTTGGGTTTTTTTGGAAATGACCACTACCTGATCATTGTCCTCGATGAGCTCTATAATGTAGTATGTACCTGTTCGGATTACGTGTGGTTCCACTCAAAAATAGGACCCAAAAGGAAATTTTCGCGTTCGAAGAATTATTGTCCGCGACATTGTGACGCGGCCATTTTCGGACTTTTCTTAGAAAAAGATTTTTAAAATTTTTAAAATGCATGTTTTCCAAAAAGCACAATGTGTGGGTTGTAGCTCTTGAAGAGCTCTATCGTCTCATGCAATCCACACATTTTTTCCTTTCATCTTTGTTTTCCATTCGAAAATGAGCGATAAAAAGAGGAAGGCGGCTCCGCAACTTTTTGGCGGTCACGGTATACAGGGTATCCAAAATGTATCCACTGTTTGATTGTTAATAACTCTCTTATTATGAGGTCTTTCGAGAAGCGGTAAACGCCATTTTGTAGAGCTGGCTTCAACTTAGATTCGCCTTAGATTTACAGTATAGAGCGAATCAGCGATCACTCACTGTTACTGTAGGATTACGGTAGAAACTTGAAACATATGGTGTCAATGTGGAAGAAGCTGCCGTTTCAAAACTTTTCGAAAAGATGTGAAAACTTGTGTAACAGGGTTTCTATGGACGCTGAGTTCAACACTCAACTATTCACAAGATTGCGAAACTTTTAAACGGTGTAACCGCACTTTCTAGAAACACTGAAATAATGGCCGTTACCTCCAACCTGGCATAACTATTCAATGAAGCATCATAATAAGTTGGAAACTTTACAGCTAAAATCAGCAACTTTAAGTAGCCTAGTGTAAAAGTTTTTGTGCTGTATCGTTTCCTTTCTGGGGCAAAATATGGCCCCGCTTAAAACCCTCTTTGAAGTTCCCACCGTAATCCTACAGTAATGAAGAGAGATGAATGATTCGCTCCATACTGCTAATCTAAGTTGAAGCCAGCTCTACAAAATGGCGTTTACCGCTTCTAGGAGAACCTCATAATAAGAGAGTTAACAACCAAACAGAGGATACATTTTTTGGGACACCTCTATATATATGCAATTTTATGCTATCTTTTATAGTTTGCTCCAAGATAAGTCTGTCGCTCAGCGTTTGTCATCTTCAGCAATTAACACCCTTATTTCAAGCGTACAAGGTAAGCGGGATTTTCTAATGAAGTCGACGGCCCACTCGCGTTAAAGGACTTCGCGACCAAAGGCCCTATGCGGTGCCGCGTGCTTGAGGGAATCGTGCGGCACAAAAATCACGCAACATTCAATCCCTGAAGTGGAAAAACTTGCAGCATGGCATCGCAGTTCCATAATCAAGTACCCTAATTTCACGCATATAAGGCGCATTTTTTCGAATTTTCAAGCGAGTCGCACAGCAGGTTCACTGTATCCCGGGAAGAAATCCTTACATCGCACGATTCTCTCAAGCAATATACAGCATGTTATAGGGTCCTTTGGTTGTGAAGTCCTTTGGCGTATCTGGGCTGGTCGATTTTGGAAAAAAGTCCCCCGCGCCTTATACGCGTGAAATTAGGGTAGCTTATCGTTAGTACTGCGTGAAATGTTCACTTCAGAGGAGTCAACGGCCTTTCATTGTGGCGGTGGGGTGTAGGGCGATTTGCACGACCGTAAGGCTTTCCGTACAGGACCACTGTAGCGCGCGACACACACTGCGGCGGCTTTTGCCTAATTGTAAGCAAAACAGGGGAGAGAAGATTTGTGGCGTGCGCGGCGTTGAGACACAAAAACAGGGTGACGCTGAAGACCGCTCGTGCGGAAAAACCGTCTCTTTGCGGTGCGAGTTTACGCGCTCCGCGGGCAACTGAAAACAGAAGTTGTAGAAACTACAGCTTGTCTCACTTGAAGGGAGCCCGACTCGAACTGCTCGGGTGCCGCTCAGCCGCTTCGCCGGACCCGACGTCACGGTCGCGTACGAGTTGCCGATCATGTTTTTATGAACACTGGAAAAAGATTAAAGGCGAAACCGTCGCAAACGCAGCGCAAAGCCGAGTCAGTGTGGCCGCGCGGAATCTGACGCCCTCTCATCAGGCTTACTGCAATTGAGGCAGAGATTTGCAAAAAACAAGAATCATAGGAGATGCGGAAATGACATGAAACATTGAAACAGTTCGATCCTTTGGAGCCACCATCCACCGAAATTCTCGACTTCCATGTTTTTGTCGTTCCGGGCCTTCTCATGTCCCTGATTAAAAATCGAGAATTTGCAAAAACCCCAACAACCTCCGTTCTAGAGAACACACGGAGCGAATTTCTGCGGAAACGGCGATTGGTTGACCGAACGCGGACGGGCGGGCATTACTTGAGGGGCGTTGCCGCCTAGGGGTTCTCTGCTCTCTTCGTTGTTCCAGAGCGATTTTCTCGTTTATAAAGCGGCATTTTGCGCCGGGCACTGGGCACTGTCTTGGTATGGGCACTGTCTTGGTAGGCGACCCTACTATCGTATGGTGCCGAAAGCAAGACTCCTAACTTAGGACAGACAAAGCTAAAAGCTCCGTAGAAAAGATCCAGGAGTAGGTATGTTATCGCTTACAATGCTAGCGTTATGTTACAATACTAAAAAGGCCGCGTTAGCGCTGGAATGGAAGCTAAATCGAGATACAAGCTGTGGCGCCTACGTAAATGTTGGCCTGGCATGGCGTCATGGCGCTGGAACGGCACCGGCACGTCGCACGGAGCTTTCAAATGCAGAAGCCTCTCTAGCTTATCAGGAAAGCATCTGACAAATTAGAAGCGGTGATGAAGAAGCTCTTGACTTGGTATCAAATCTTTGCACATAAAGTTATAGAGGCAGTTTATATTTTGAACAGAAGACATAGAATAAACATTTGTGAAGATACGAGCACTTCCATAACAAATTGAGTTGCGAAATAAAGTTCAAAGTCCTCGATATTTAAGTGCTTTGTTTTCCTCACATGCGTGTGTACAGTGAATGAGCGTGATTTACATGAGAATTAGAGTTGAATAAGAGTTCAATCGGTAGGTGACAAACTCCGCCTATACGAGTTCCAGCTCCACCCATTCCGGAGATGCAATATATATACATATACATATACATATATATACATATGTATTATATTAGGTGGGTCACAAAGTTTGTTCGCCAGATTTTCAAAAAATCATAACTTCCTTCCTTCTCGGTGAAATTTCTTGAATTTATTCCTGTTTAAAAGAGGAAACCTTTCTTTTTACAACAGTGCCTTTGGCATGAAATAGCGTGAGAAAGTTCAAAAGTTAAAAGCAGTTGAATGAAATCACTCAAGATCAGCACTTTTCAAGCAGGGTCACGAAAAATTCTGGAAGTAATTTTATTTGATAGAGTAAATTTTGCTTATTACAGTGGTACCTTCTTCATGAATTAAAACGAAGT